GGTACATATTAAAATCAATAGCATGTACCGTGTATTTAACAAATTAACTACATGCATGACACTTACATTGGCCATTTCCCAAATCGGATTATGTGGCCACTAGTTCTTTTTAACAACTCATATCATGGAAATGTTTGTTGTGTCCAAGTCTAGCTACAGTTCTTTAAAAATCCTATTGCTTCCCTGCCAATTCCCTGTACAAAGTCCAAGCATACTTTTAAAGTGCACTTGTTGAGGTCGTGTACCCTCACGTACCCAGAGGCCCGATCGTCTACCCCAGCGGGGATGTGGCATAAAGAACTGCACCTGAACAGTTTTGTTCCTCATGTTTACGGCCAGAACTAACCCATGCCATGGCTCTGGATCATCACCTTTTATGAGTAACATGTCACCAACTTCTGGATAACAAGGGACAACCACACTTGCTAGTGGAAAATGGGGCCTTTGGAAGTCAACAAGAATGTACTTGCGTGGGTCAGCAAGGTTTTCAGGGTCTGGGAAAAGCATGACTTTCCGCTGAATACTTGATGAGGGAAGGATTCTTTCTGCACCAGATGGCAAAAGTAGGGTACCCTTACTCCACTGGTCAACTACCCTCTCAACACCATGCACCACGGGTTGGAAACAATCTCCGATAACAAATATATGATGATTACTGTTTACAGTTACTCTTAAAAACTGAGTAATGTGTATAATATCGTCATGTTCATGTTCGCTAGAAACAGCAATATTTTCACCTACTCTGTAAACCATTCTTCCAGTTGTAGTAGCAATGTATATACTACGACATTCATGTGCAACATCACTAATGTCATCACTCACAGTAGAGTCGTGTTGAGTTAGGTGCATTGTAATGGCATTTCTATGCACTTCATTTGAAAGATGAACAGGCTTTAGTGCTCCAAGTAGTATGCCACTTGGGAATGACTGATGAATCTTTTCATAACTTGAGTGCTCGATAGCATTTTCCAGTTCAGCTAATGACCTGTAATGGGCCTTAACTGGATTTGTATTAACTTCTTCACAACTAACTTCTTGACCTTTCAGGGATGCACGAACCTTAAGAATTTCTCTTCGCAGTTCTGCCCGAGCAAATGTTATTTCAATGTTTTTGTGATTACTAGATATTGCAACATACCGGCTAACTGCACGTTCATAACTATAGCACCAAAAATTGTCAGGAGAACCAAAATTCAATACGTCTTCACTGATGTGAGTCAGGTTGTGATTGACAACGTGGCAGTATCTTAATCCCTGGCATTCCTCAATCAAGATGTTGTATCTCAATACAGCTTTATGGAAAATTGCTGTTGAGTCAATAGTCCACCCATTTCTCCCTTGACAATACAGGTATTCAACAATTCTTGCTAGGCATTCCCATGATTCAAAGTGTTCTTCTGAAAGAAGGCCACCCAAAATGACCTCTGAGATAGGGAAAGCAAATTTTTGAAAGTCCTCTGCCTTCCAATACCCTATTCTGGAAAGTTTGGAAGGGTATCTGGAGGCAAGGAATTCTGCTGTCCATGGTACTTTACTCAGTCTCTCTTGGAGCATATGCTGATTGACAAGTTGATTGTCCAAGAGAAAATTGAGGTGGTTTCTTATGACACCAAGAGAAACCATATGCATTACATCAAACACACAGTGTTTGCGGTAATCAAAACCATACAGTACATGAAGACGGTGAAGTATAGACAATCCAGTAAATCCTGCTTTCTTGGCCATTTCCTGGGCCACAGTTTTTCTTTCTTCATCTTCTATAGTTTTTAAAGTTTCAATTTCATCAGCTAAGTTTCTCTTTGGCCAAGGGTATTTGGCTGATTTTCTGTACTCCCCATAGTAATAATGATTACTGTTCACATCTAAAGTACTTCCACATTTGCAGCGACGGCAAGGGTTCTTGCCACAAAAGATTGCCTTGCAGATTTCACAAACAGCAACATGGTCTGCAGTAACACATAAAACCAGATGTCTGAGTATTGTTTGCCCAGCGGGGAACTGTGGCAATGACAATTTATATTCAACTTCAATGCCATTAATAAATCCATCTTCAATGTCATCAAGGAATGGAGACAGAAAGGGATCAAGGGATATTGGCCTTCTTTCAGGCAAGAGATATGCAGGCACAAAACCTACAACAAATATTTCTGATTTTTTTTGTCTATTTTCCTTACACATGTTTGCTATCTGAATTTCAATTGCCCCCGATCCATGATTGTATTTCCCATCAAATGGTTGAAAGCCATCCCAGTGTAGGATGTACGCAAGATTTCTTGGATCTCCATGGACTTTCTTAACAGTTTGTGCACCTGTGACTGCACAGTGCGGACAGGTCACTAGTTTCTGACTACCATCAGGTGTTTCAGGTGAAGAATTAATTTCTTGAACTGAGATAACTCCCCCACAATTAAGGCATTTGGCAGGTAGTTGCCATTCCTTCTCAGGATTCCAAAACCATTGAAGTTCAGAGAACCGTCTACCATCCCATATCTCTTTTTTGCATTCAAACCCCCAACTTTCTTGGTTTTCTTGCCCAAGCCAATGATCTTTTTCATACCAGTGTGCCAAAATCTTTTTGCAAAAAATTGGATCACTTGTCCAAAGATTTAATTTGGGACCTAATCCAAGATAGTAGTAAGGAATAGTTCCCTTCTTGTTACAGTGTGGACAGAGCTCGTCTTCTGATGACATTAAACCAAAGTGACATCTGTGGCTCTCATCAAGACAAATCATGTATTTTTTTGCACCTCTGTAACCAACAGAGTGCAGCAGTTGTTCTGCATCTTTCCAACATTTTGGCCACATATGAATGTGCTCGCTAAATCCCATGGCGAAGATTTTTTTCCCCCAGTCTAAAATGTGATCAAATCCAATGTTGGATAATTTTAATTCAAGCTGCAATTCTAGCGCATCAAGGATGGAATCTACTATTTTCTCATTAAGTACTTTGATGGAGACTGTTTCATCCTCATACAAATCAGTTAATTCTCTTTCTTCGCGAGTGATAGAATCATGAACATCAGAAAAACCTTCCGACTCATCAAGCATGACTTGGTCCACTAAATGTTGATCCTCACCTGATGATGCCTCTAACTCCATACCACTTTGCTCTTGTAAAGTGCCTTGTTCATCCGACGAATCCAAGCTTATAGTTGCCCCTGAAGTGATGCTACATGATGATACATGAAATTGGCGCGCACGATGTCTGAACGCGGTAGCTCTTGAAACAGCTTTGCCTGCACACTCATCGCAACCACAATGAACATGTTCAGACTGAGCACCTAAGTGGTCGTCGTCGCAGGTACAAAGACAAATTTCCCACAATTTCTCATCACCACAAAACGCCATTCTCCAACGTTTTTTTTACATCAATCAAGTGCGACAGCAATTATGACAACATCACACCGAAGTGTAAGTCCCTTATCTTGAATTTCTGTTTTCTATTCCCAAGGTAATTCAGTTTGCTACGGTAAAAATCGAGGATAAAAGCTGTTTTTTGCACGAGAGTGTAGGGAAATACATCGTACAACCGTAAATCAGTACCCAGGTCCTTCTCATACACTGGGTCGACTGGGCCCGAGTATAACTTAGCCAATGATAAGCGAGAATATCAAAGGCGGGAAAAAGTCGCCAATCAGCAGCTTTTTCCCTTGCTTTGTATTCCAGTTGTGTACAGTTATGAAATCATTTTCAACATGGCGAGCGTACGGGGGAAAGAGTGGCGGATCAAGCTTCCAGTTACTTGTTCACCTGACGAGTCGACTGAGACTGAAACACGAGAAAACTTACGCGCTCTCGATAAGAAAGGAGACGAGGAAAAACTAGACACGGATAGTGTAAGTTCAGAAGAGTCGATTGCTAGTTTTTCCCAGTCACAAGTGAATTTTCCCGCCAGGCTCAGGAGAGAGAATGCCCGCCATTTTGGGCATGTTCCCGCTGATGAAGCAGACTGCATTGAATGCAACCCAAGTAGCAAACAAGTATCAGGTAAATAAACGGGTCGTTTCATTTCGTTTAATTCCTTGTCTTATTTACTAATACCACTGAATATTTATTCTGGTGATATAAGAATACATTAATGTTTTCCCAATTCACAGAATGGTCCGTCACCCAGGTGAAGGAATGGGCTTTCAAAACGTTCGGGAATGAAAATATCGCAAACAACTTTGAGAAGGAGGAGATTGATGGAAAGATTTTGCTGTCTTCAGCTGTACAGAGTATTCAAGCGATGGAACAGTTAGGATTAACCACGATTGGTAAAAAAGGGAAATTCTTGGAAACATTAAAGGAACTTACAGGCAAGCTTATTTATTTAGTTGAAAATTAGCTACCGGGACTTGACTTTTCAGACAATATTACTGCTTCGTTCCGTTCAAATAGAATAACTTTCTGTGCGTAATACATCTGTCAGTCATTAATTTTTTCGCGCGCTTCTTGTCACATGGCTTTTCAGCCTCAAATTTATTATTCCCGAGTCACGTTAAATTTGCTCATGGGCTTCAAACTGTAACTGAATTTCGTGTCTCTATTGCTGGCGTTGTCCATGTCCTGGCTAACACGGTTCTCTCTTTTTTTTTTGCTAGCCAATAAAAGAGCCTCTGTAGATGTATCTACCTCGTCTGTGGGGAAAAAAGGAAAATTAACACTACCAGATATCAAATGTCTGGATCCAGCATCAAAGTCAATTTACCTTACAGTGTAAGCATAATGTAACTATAATTTGTATACTCTGATAGAAAAAATATGTTGCACGCCATGAAGATGAAGTATTTATTTATTTTTAAATAACAATCTTCAGCTTTTAGTGTTGAGTCATCAGTCAAGTCAGACCTTTAGTTTTCTGGTGACTTGTACATAATTCTTAGTTCTTTTAAACATTATTTATCTTCTTGCTCTTTCCATGGTATTTTGACACTACTAATTATCATTCTATACTGTACTCCATTTTACAAGAATAATAATGTTAGTGCTGCATTTACAAGCTATACTTTGATAGTTTATCATTTATTAATATTATTGTTATTAGGCGATCACGCATCCGTAGGGCTACAGAAAATGAGTTTCCTGGTAACAGCATCCCTACATTTAGAAGCAACCCAGAAGCAAAGGAAAGACTGGACATGTTAGTGAAGCAACTGGCAAAATCATGCTCAATTCAAGAACTTAACTTTGGAGAAGGTAAACTGTTTTCACTTCTAAAAGTTATTTATCATTGAAGTAACAATGAGGGTAAATTATAGTGCTAAAATTTATCCCAACAAGACCCACTTAAAGCATTAGCCCTACCAAAGGGAAAAAAAGAACACAAAAAGCCAAGAAGAAAATCTTTTGACCTTGGCGGGATACCCAACGGCTGGATGAGATCTACTGTTATTTGCTTGCTAAACCACAAGGTCAGACAGTGATAGGCTGGGGATGATTAAGGTGCTGAATCAAAGCAAAATATGTTGCTACTTCTAACTAAGTTATTTTTGCCTCTACAATGAAACTTCCACTCTTGATTGAATTGCAGAGGGTATCCGGTCACATATAATATCAGTACTCAATGAAAGAAGGAGGATGGTTGCCCTTGGACACAATTATGAGGTGGGAAGTGTGCTTAAGGTCTTGACTCAAATAGTCTTATTTTTGCCTCCCACATTTTTGGGCAGAGTTGTGATCTTACCATATTGAACTTATCTGTTTAGGATAAAAGGAAGTCAAGTGACAGTGATAGTGAAGGAAGTCCATCATGCTCTCAGCTTAAACGACAGAAAAATGATAAGTCAGATAGCCTGAAGGACTCTGAAGATTCCAGGACAAGCAGTGGTGACAGTAACTCTGATGATGGACCAGAGACAAATGGTGAGATTCAACAGTAAAACATGATATTACAGGGCTTTCATGAAGATCTCAAGTTGCTGGGTTAATACAACGTGTAGGCAGGGACAAACTGCTTGGGAGTTCATTTGGTTCTATTTTCCTGCTATTTTCCCATGAAAGTAGCTGGGGATCATACGAGTAATTAGGAGAAATCCCTGGATCCTGACCTTTAGTGAAGGCCCTGTATTACTTGCAGATGCCAACTCTTTTTTTGGTAAGATTGCTCACTCTTTGGTTGGCAAAATAAAATTATTGTCTGCAACAGCTGTTTTTCTTTCTTTTTAGTATTTTAAAAAAAAGTGTTTGTTAAGTGATGACCCAGAATCTGTGACAGCTATAACAATATATGTATAAAGTCAACCAAATTTTTCCACAATGAGAGATTAAATTTCGGTCATTTTTTACATTGTTATTTTCAGTGAATGAGAGTTTTGATAAGCTATCAGTTAAAAGTGCTGAAGTCATCACCATGGCAGTATTCAAAGAAACAAAAATGAGAGATGTAAAACTACACAAGCAGATCCTACCAGCTTGCCGATATCTCAAAGTAGCTGGGGTTAGAGGAAAATCTAAGCCATCAGTAACAAAGCTTCTTGCTCAAGCATTTATTGATAAGGAATATGTAGTTATTAATGACAAAGAAAATTGCAATTTGGCCAATTTGACATTCAGCGACATTACTTTGTCTTCTGATAAAGACATTGAATCAGAGGTAAAAGAGTGGCAGAGAGCAGACTTTTAAAAGCTAACAAGAAAGATTGAAATGTTACATAATTATTTAAGTACATGGCAAAGGAATTTGGTAACTAAAGATGCGTATCATCATGATTAGTTTCTGTAACTAAGCCATAGAGGTGGCTTTCTTTTTAGTTCTTATTTGGACTACCAAGGAACAGTTAAGCCAAGGAAAGCTAGGTGGAAGAAGAGGAAGTAGTGCATGTACAATTATTGCGATGTTAGTTGCTGAAATAGTGTCAAAATGTTGTAACCTAATACTGCCACATAGTGGAAGGCTTTGTGATAGGTGGTCGTATGCTATAGCAGAAGCGATTTCTGAAGGGAATAGTATATATGACAGATATGTTGATAAACCAGGCATACTTCTTGACGTTCATGATGTGGGTGAAATATTTAAAAGGAACCTTACAAAGCACTATGTGCATATTTCAGAAACAAAACCAGTTTGGTTATCACCTTCAAGTGATCCCTTTACTTGCACTTTCTGTTATAATCTTGCTCAGTTTTCCCTGCTAAGAGGGCAAAATTTTGCTGTTTTCATTTGCCACAAAAAGTCTTTCTTATTTGTTAGCGATGGATCTGGAAAAGTCTTGGTTATAGATACCCATTTCCATGCTGATACAAATAGTGGAACCTACTTTATTTTTGGGGAAGCAGATGAGGTTGCATTTTATTTCACCAAAAAATACCCAGGAAAAACAGTTGGCACTCTAACAGAAATTTCATTTGTAGTTGTTGTAGACTGAAACTACTTGGATTCGATTACTTAAAATCAGCATATATATAGATGTACATCTGTGTGTCTCCACGAAACCCAACAAACATCCATTAATGTAGCGAACTATGAAGTGTAATGGGGAAAATAGCCCATTTGAACTTGAAAGTTGCTTTGGGCAAACTCAGCAAATCAAAATAACAAGGTTGCTGTCAAAAAGAAACGAATAGACCGTAAGAGTCGGCTGCATTGCAGTGGACCAAAGTATAGTAATATAGTTGTAAGAACTGTATATATTATGGAGGTAATTTCTAATATTAATAAATTATTGTTATCTAACAAAATTGGGTTATATTACATTGTAGCTTGCTTTAGTAATAGATGTCATGCAGACTTTAATAATTTCAAAATTGGTCTTTGATGATAATGCAGTCAGTTGACAGTTCATTCATCTGACTTAATATAAACAAAGCAGATTTCTCAACTGCTTCTGATAGTAAATTTAGGGTTCTACTATAGTTTATTCAGGTTTATAATACTAACTCCAAGACTATAATAAGTTGTAAACTTGTATTGTTTCATTGTCAACTGACTTCACATCACTGACCTAATTACAGCATTAGTATTTGACAGCCTCATGATGCAGGAGTCCAATGATTGTTGTGTAAAAAGGCCAGTTAAGCTTAATGTTCATGATTGCATTATATTGTGTTGATATCATATGAGACTTACTTTGTTTAGTTTGTACTGCATAAAACATGTACATTACATTGAAGTTCTTTCTAATAAAGTGAAAAAGTTGAAGTTATTACTAGCTGTTCTAATTGGCTTACTTATAATTACAGAGGCACCCCTGCTTATCCTGTAGACAAATCAATGAATTATTATTGAAAGCCTTTCACAAGCATCTTGGGTTGGGTTTTTTTACATTATTTTTTATGAAAATAATGTAATTATTGGTGATGCGAAATGGTTTAATATGGGTAATCTTTTTTGTTTGAGGAAGGTTTACAATAATAATAATAATACATGTAACTGTTGTTAGTTCCAGTCCTCAGAAAATCCTCTTTGATGAAACCCAGAGCTTCCTCCATTGGGATAATTGAAAATATTCCAAAAAATTCAAAACAAGGTAGAAATTGGGATTATTCTTGAATTCCCATTTCAAGTTAGATTGGGTCTTTATTGGAAAACCCATTGTAATTCCCAGTTTGGAAAAGTGGGAATTGCTGTATATTGTCTTGACATTTCCCAATAAAATCCCATTTTAAAAGTGATTTCCCAACTCTGGGATATTGTAGAGTACCCAAACATGGGAATTTACGATACCCAACAAAATGGACATTGGGAACAGTCTCACGTTCCCAATTTCCACAAAAATTGGCATTTTGTTGGGATTATTTTAAAAACCCAATAAAAACCCCGTAAATTACCAACATGGGAATCTGTTATTTTTTCCTGTGATGGCCTCTGTATTAAACCAATATTTTAGTCTAGGAGGGCTTGTTTGCTAACTAGATGATCAACAAACATTATTTAAACGCCAATTTTTGTCCGAAAACAAACAAAGATAACATTTTCATTTTTTGAAAAACGGGCATCATAGGTTAACCCCTTTGAAAATATCCCAGTATCGATATATTTATAGTCCAAGAGTGCTTTCGTTTTCTAACAGATGATCAATTTTCCTCATTTCTGGCTGATTCCATGTCAAACCGAAATACCTTTTTATTTACTGCTGGACTGAGATATTGACGTATTGACTGAATAAGTCAGTGATTCATTGACTTTGACTTGATTTATGACTGAATGAATTACTTATCTTGACTGTATAGTCTTGGTGGATCGCATGTCTGTGCTAGTTTATTTGTTCGTTTATTTACTGTGAACTTTAAGATGAATCTCAAATCACAGGTAACCGAGGCTCACTATTTGTGTTACGTACGGGTTTTATATAATTTAAGTAAATATAGAGAACATATGGGGCGAAGTTTAGGTCTGGAAATTTGCTAGAAAATGGAAATAAAAATCGATGAGACTTACCATGCCTCCAGTTTTGTTGTCCTTAATATGCACACGAATTGTCGGAAAAATAGTCTCCTCATCTTCCCGACACTTCGTGTACATATCAAGGAAAACGACAACTCGAGGCATGGTAAGTTTCATCGATTTTATTTCCATTTTCTTGCAAATTCTCTAGACCTAAACTTCGACCCATATGTTCTCTATATTTACTCATGTTATTTGAAACCCGTACGTGACACAAATAGTGAGCCTGGGTTACCTGTGCTCAAATCTGCCTTACCTTGCCCAGACTTCAAGAGAAGTGGGTATTAGCTTTTGCCTGCATAAACTATGGGATCGCTTGAGTCACAACCAAGAAGAAGGGTAGGGTAATGGTTTGGCTCGCGAGAAATCACTTCACTATTATAAACGAACTGTGAGAATTAGCATTTTCACCACTTGGGGAGAAAAAGAAGTTCACAGTATTAAGAAAAAGGGTCTTGGATAAAGCTTAGTGTGTAATTTCAGACTGACTTTCCCAATGATTTGTTTATATCGCAAAATGCGCCATAAATGAGTGCGTTATAGTTTCTTGTTATAGATCGTTTTCACTGTCACGCAACAAAAAAATAAATTGAAAACCGTCCAGTGAGAGAAGCCAAGAAAATGATATGTTATAAAAGACTAATATTTAAACAATTTGTCCAAGTCTCAGGTCTTTTTGACCCACAGTTTCTGAGTTATTTGCCGAAACGTTCCACGCATCTTTGTAGAGCTTTGTATGGAGACGTCATATTGGTGCACAGTTTTGGTGCACCAATATGGCCGCCGAAAATCGACAAAAAGATCTGGAGTTCCCTTGTTCTATAAAAGCTCCTCCTTTTCACTCGAGAACTAGCCTACGTGCGCATAAACATATCTTCTAATACTTGAAATGGTTATACTACTGAAAATCAAGAGGAGAGACTTTTTTTCAAGGAGACAGCTTTCCTATTTTAGTGTCACGCACTGTGAAAATGCGGGGGTTCAAATTGCTGTATTTTCGAAATGAAACATGCTATGGGACTGAAAACTTGTTCAAAGATTAACTTTTTGTTTATCTTCAACCTAGTGTAAATAAGAATTCGTAAAACCTCGCTATTTTGACTTTACAATTTGATGACGTCACTGTGAAAACCATCTATTTCCAGTTTGCTTCAGAATCGTAGTCCTTGTCGGCAGTTGTCCTTGAGATCGTCACGCAAGGCGTCTGTCTCTGCGTGACGAC